TGTGTGTGTGTGTGTGTGTGTGACGCAAGTACTGCATGGCGTATCGATGGCCAGCAGTTTGAGGCAGCTTGAACAACATACTTGCTTGAACACTGCAACAGTCTCCCCCCTCTCCCTGTCTCTCTCTCTCTCTCTCTCTCCCTCCTCCCTCCTCCCTCCTCCCTCCTCCCTCCTCCCTCCCCCTCTCCCCCTCCCCCTCCCCCCCCCCCTCCCCTCCACTCCCTCTTCCTCCCACTTCCCACATCTCGAAGGCTTTTTGACTGGGATAATTGATGTTATTCTTGAAGGCTAGTTTTCTCCCCGTTGAACGGTAATTACATTTTCTGATGTCGGGCGTTTGAAGTCATTGCCCCCCCCCCCTCTTCCCCTTCTACTTCATGCGCTTCTCCTCCTCCTCCCTTTCTCTTTCTGCTTCTTTCCACTGTGTTATCTCGTTCCTTCCTTCTTCCTTTTCGAACCTTTTCTTTCCCTCCTTCGCTGCTGGTCGTGCTCCTTCCTCCTCTCTCTCCCTCTCACGTCCTACTCCCTACCTCCCTCTTCTTCATTGTCTTCCTCCTACCCCTCATTCTCCTCCATCCTCCTCACCCCCCCTCTTCTTCCTCCTCATTCTCCTCCTCCCCTCCTTCCCTCCAGCTGGCCCTGCTTGCTCTCCGCCTGCATGACGCCCGTGCATGTGCGCTTTGCTTCATTAGCTTTCCTTTTGATAATGGCGGACGTTTATCCTTTTCCCGCATCTGCTCAGTGGGATTATCCCTCACAATTAATCCTTGCATCCTATAGCCGGGCGTGTGGTAGGATTTTTAATCTCCCCCCCCCCCCCCCCCCCCCCACCCAGTCTTCTGTCGTAAGGAAAGTGCCACTGTTGATCACCATGTGTGGGGGGGAGGGGAAGGGGAGGGGATCTGTGTACCTCTGTTTTGGTTAGTTGGTTTGTCCGCTGTCGGTTAGTTCTGTGTTGGCGTTGGGGCGGGATTGTTTTGTACTGGGAGTGAGATCCGAGGGGTGTTTTTTTTTACTTGTTTGATTTTTCTCTCTATCTCTCGTCGTCTTCCCCTTCCCCTTCCTCTTCCTATTCCTATTCCTGTTTCACTTCTACCTATATATCAGTCTTCCCGCCCCTATCTTGGATACTTTTTTGAGAGAGAGAGAGAGAGAGAGAGAGAGAGAGAGAGAGAGAGAGAGAGAGAGAGAGAGAGAGAGAGAGAGAGAGAGAGAGAGAGAGAGAGAGAGAGAGAGAACGCGTTATTGTCTGTGGCGTGAGGGATAGCCGTTGTTCATGCAAGTATTTTTCACTTTTTCTCTTTGGGAGACATTCAGGAGATCACTTTTTATAATCTGCATATTTTAAGGGGTTATTTTAAGACTTTTTGATTGATATCGGTATTCCATTTTTATAAACTGATCCCAGCTAAGAGGGGAGTGGGGAGGGGGAGGGGGGATCGAGAGGCAATTGGCTTTCCTGTTGTTTTTGTCTGCAGTCAGGAGAGTGAGATCTTAAGGTTGCAAGGCTGGTCTGCAGGGCGTTTTGTGATTGGGACTGATGCGTGCCTTTAGGACTTTGCCCTGTTTGCGTTCTCTCTTGTTTGAGGATTTTATTAATATCTTTGCTCCACTTATATATATATATATATATATATATATATATATATATATATATATATATATATATATATATATATATATATATATATGCACATAAATGCATTCATACTGTAGTCGCATATATATGTTTTGTCTTATTATAAATAGACTTTCTTCTCGTCTGAATTTGACACTGTTTTCCATTTCAAATCGAGTCTTCTTAACCTGTGTATTTTCGTTTTCTTTTACGGTTGTGTTTTCTAAAATAATCTGATAAATTACCCTGGTCGATACTTACTGGTTACTGATAAACTTTTATGACTTGTTATCATCTGTATGTATTTTAACATCTTGATTGTGTATTAACATCTTTTTTATGAAATATTTTATGATATTAGAAGTTGTTTGATTCCATTTAACTAACTTGTGTTTCTTTTTCTTTTTCTCCCTCCCTCCCTCCCTCCCCTTCCCTCGTACCAATCCTGAAACCTATCGAATTCGATTCCTCCTTGCCTTTTTCAACTCTCATTCTCTTCCATCTCCTTTGAATCGCCTTACTTTACCTCTCATCAATCTCCTTCCCTCCACCTTCCCTCCTACCTTACACCTGCCTCCCTCCTTCGGCCCTCCCTCCTCACCCCCCCTCCCTCCTTCGGCCCTCCCTCCCCGCCCAACAGCTTCAAGGTGAGCGTGGAGTCTTGGATGTCAGGCATGATTAACGGGATGGACTCTTGCGCCCAGAACGGCACCGCCTCCTCCAACTCCTCCCAGAGCGGCCACATCGAGGAGTCCAAGACAAACCTCATCGTGAACTACCTGCCGCAGAACATGACGCAGGAGGAGATACGCTCCCTGTTCTCGTCCATAGGCGAGCTGGAGTCGTGCAAGCTCATCAGGGACAAAGTCACAGGTGAGTCAGGTGCGAACAATCAATTCTTTTTTCCGTTTTTTGGGGGGAGTGGTTTGTGCTGTGGTTGTGGTGTTGGGGGCGTGGTTGTGGTTTGTGGCTCGGAGTTGTGGGGGTTTGTGTGTGTGTGTGTTTGTGTGTTGGGGGGAGGGAAAGGGAGGGAGTGGGGGGGCGGAGGAGTGGTTTTGTGTGTTTGAGTAATTCCCTTTTTTTTTTTTGAATGGGGTTTGAGATAGAAATAGATGTAGTTGAACTTCGTGACGTTTGTGTGTCGTTGTTTGTATGCATTTACGTACTACGATGCACAGATGGTTGTGGAGTTGCTTTTGAGAGAGTTTGTAGAGCTTGTGTTTTCATCATTAACCATTCATTAACTGTAGTGTGGGGTGAGGTAGTTCTGAGTGACTGACTTGCTAACGAGGTGGTGAACGAGGTAGTTTTTAGTAGTTAATCGTAGTTTTTTTGTTTTTTTTTTAGGAGTGCCTTGGATTGATATATATTTGTGTATATTGTAAGGTTTTCTCGGTTCGCTTTCACCCATTTATTTCATTACTCATTTTTCATTATTTGTCATCCACAAGCACTTTTATTATGCTGGATTCACCTTTTTTATCATTTGTTCATTTATTCACTTAATAAAGTTTTTCCTTCATTGCCATTTTCCTGTTTATTTGATTACCATCCTTACTAATTGCTCTTTGTTATTATGCTATTATTAGTATTATTATTATTGTTATTATTCCCATTAATTGTTCTTTGTTATTATACATCAATTATTGTCCCTATTTTTGTATTTTGTATTGGTTTTGTGAACAGCACAGCTTGCTTTAGGATTCTTGGTAAGTTTTTGTTTCTAGATAGAAGGTTATGAGGCGAAGGAGGCAAGGGAGGGAATATTAGAGGGGAGAGAGAGAGAGAGAGAGAGAGAGAGAGAGAGAGAGAGAGAGAGAGAGAGAGAGAGAGAGAGAGAGAGAGAGAGAGAGAGACCCAAATTGAGTTAGTGTCAAATTGATAATATCCCCGTATTAAGTCGGTGGTCCATGGAGAGAGGTTTGGGCTGGACGGGAAATGGGTGAGCGAGCGACGTAGACGAGGGAGAAAAGTGGATGATAAATGGTAGAGGATGTGGAGATGGAAACTAGGGTGAGAAGGGGGGGGTGGAGAGAGAGAGAGAAAGAGAGAAAGAGAAAGAGAGAGAGAGAGAGAGAGAGAGAGAGAGAGAGAAAGGGATAGCTTAGGCCAGTAATCGGACACGATCACAAAAAGTAAGCAGATTGGAAGAACGATAGGGAAGGGAGAGAAGAGAAGAGGAGAGAAAAAAAAGAGAGCGGGTGAGCGAGCGAGAGCGCCATCTTGGCAGACATAAAATTGTTTGGCTCTGTACTGTTGCTATATTTGGTCGCATTAATAATGGTTCGCTTTTATAATTACGGGGAAAAGGGGTTGGAAGACGGCTAATGACACCGAGGGGAGGGGAAGGGGAATGAAGGATGGCGGGAGAGAAGAAAAAGAGGAGGAGGAGGAGGGAAGGGGAAGGGGAGAGGATGGAAAAAGGAATAAAGAAGAGGGGAATAGGAAAGAGAGAGAGGGGAGGAGAGTAATGGGGGGGGGGAAGGAAACCAAAGAGGTCTTTCGGAAATGGAGGAAGAAAGTGGGAATAGAGGATAAGAGAAAGAGAGAAAGGAATGGGAATGGAGAGAGAGAGAGAGAGAGAGAGAGAGAGAGAGAGAGAGAGAGAGAGAGAGAGAGAGAGAGAGAGAGAGAGAGAGGAAGCGCGGAGAAGGGAGAGTGGCTGGCTGGCTTCTTTGTGACGTGGGGAGGGGGGAGGGGGGGAGGCCTACAGGAAGTAGGCTTGAGGGGGGTTTATAGATCCGAGTCAAGAGAGCTTCTTTTTATTACATGTGTGTCTTCCATTTGTCTGTGTTTGTCTACTTCTGTCTGTCTGTATATCGTGCCCCCCCCCTCTCTCTCTCTCTCATTCTCTCTCTCTCTCTCTCTCTCTCTCTCTCTCTCTCTCTCTCTCTCTCTCTCTCTCTCTCTCTCTCTCTCTCTCTCTCTCTCTCTCGCACGCACGCACGCACCCACGCAGTATATACATGTATGTGTGTCTGCGTGTGTTTCCATTAATCTCGCTGTCGTTATACAGTCGTAAGGGAGCGGCAGGAGAGGGAGTCTCAGGGAAATGGGAGAAGGGCGGTGGCTTTTTTTATTTTTTATTTTTTTATTTATTTATTTATTTTTTTTTTTTGGTGTGGGGGGGTGGGAGGGTGGGGGGCGGGGGTGATCGTGGTGGAAAGGATAAGGAAAGGGTTTTGCACGATCAGGTTTTCGATCTTGTTTCTTGGTCATCGAGAGAGAGAGAGAGAGAGAGAAAGGGGGAGGGAGAGAGGAAGAGATGGAGAGAGAGTGGAGGAGGAGGAGGAGAGAGAAAAGGTCAGAGGCAGAAAGACCTTTAGTTGGTGGATAGACACCGACTTCGGTCTGTCTTCTTTCTTTTAATTATTCTCCCTCTTCCTTCCCTTTATTCTTTCCCTCTCTGTACATGCCACTCTCTCCTCTTCTCGTGCTTTCATTCTTCTTTTTCTCCGGCTTCCTACCCTCCCTCTCTTCCTCTTTCCTCCATGCACTCCCTCCTCCGTCGTCTTCTCCAATCGTCTTCATCTCCCCCTCTCTCCCTTTCTTTCTTCCCCTCCTCACCACTTCCCCCCCCCCCTTCTTCCTCCCTCCCCCCTTTCTCCCCCCCCCCTTCTTCCTCCCTCCCCCCTTTCTCCCCCCCCCCCCCCCCCCTTGCCGAACGGGAGCAGCAGCGCAACAGCCTTTTAAAGGAGGCTGGCGAATCGCAGGGACCTTTGTGGCCGAGGCTAAAGGAGACCCGTCCGCTTCCTTCCCGCGATTGTCTCTGCTCGCCTGCTTTCTCGGGAGGAGGAATAGGAGGAGGAGGAGGGGAGGAGAAGGGAAGGGGAGGAGGAATAGGAGGATGAGAAGGGAAGGGGAGGGAGGAGAAGGAAAGGGGAGGAGGAATAGGAGGATGAGAAGGGAAGGGGAGGGAGGAGAAGGAAAGGGGAGGAGGAATAGGAGGATGAGAAGGGAAGGGAAGGGGAGGGAGGAGAAGGGAAGGGGAGGGAAGGGAAGGGTGGAATGGTGGGAGGGAGGGAGGGAGGGAGGGAGGGAATGGTGCGAGGGAGAGTGAAAGGTCGGGGAGCGGTAGAAAGGTGAGGGTGAGTGATGTACATATGGAAAGGTAGGAGGGGAAAAATCAGATCTGTGGGGACAAAAGGAGATAGGAAGGTGGGGGGAGAGAGAGGGAGAGAGGGGAAAGGTTCTTGTATGGTGGGGCATTCATGTATGTATGTATGTATGTATGTATACTCTGTATGTAAATCCTCGGCGGCCGTGAGCGCGATTGGGCCGCACGCAGCAGAAGGCAGCAGTAAAAAACTCGCAAATCTCCCGCGCGTCCTCCGCCCTCGCGCCCGGACTGCTGCCTCCGCGAGCAATAGTCATAAAACGCCCGCGTCATCGGCGACCCGCGGGTGCGAGAGGCATCAGCGCCGCCGCCCGCCCACGCCCATTGGCGTATTTTGTGGGTGTGTGTTTCTTCTTGTGTTTCTAAAGCAGGGACTTACTTCGGTCGTTGTTTGCCGCGCACGCACACGCACACGCACACGCACACACACGCACACACACGCACACACACGCACACGCACGCACACGCACGCACACGCACACACACGCACACGCACACACACGCACACACACACACACACACACACACACACACACACACACACACACACACACACACACACACACACACACACACACACACACACACACACACACAGAGTCTGCAAGTGTATGTTTGTGTATTTGCGCGTGTGGGTGGGTAGGTGCGCGCGCACACGAACAAGAGATATGAAAAGAAAATAATTTTAATGAAAAAGCTCGGATCATCGATCTTTCTTGCAGCTCACTAAAGAAGCCGAGACGGAGGGCCTGGCGGAGGTGGGGGGGGGGAGAGAGAGAGAGAGAGAGAGAGAGAGAGAGAGAGAGAGAGAGAGAGAGAGAGAGAGAGAGAGAGAGAGAGAGAGAGAGAGAGAAGGATGGTAGAGATGCAGCGTGGCTTGGTTTAAGGGAGGTGATGGTGGGGGCATGGGAAGGGTGGGGGCGTGGGGGGGGGGGGCGACCACAGGAGGAGCAGCAGCAGGCGCGTTGTAATTCTCTCGATATCGACCCGACCCGCTCCCCCCCTCTCTCTCTCTCCCTCTCCCCCTCTTTCTCCCTCCACACTCCCTCCCTCCCCTTTTGTTTAAGAATCGATCCACGATCGACCTGGAACGAGGGGGAGGGAGGGGGGAAAGGAGGGGAAAGGGTGGGGGGGGGGAGGCGGCGGTGGAGTGCTTCTCGTCCTTCTGTCTTCCTTTTTATACTGGTTTGTAATACCGTATTCTGATTACGGGCCGGGGGGGAGGGGGGGAGGAAGGGGTGGAAGGGGTGGGGGAGGAGAGGAAAGGGTCTCGTCTGTCAGATGCTTGATTTGATGCTCGATGGAGACGTTGGGGAGGGAAGGGGGAGGGAGGGAAGGAGGAAGGAAAGGAGGAGGGTATGGTGCATGCACACACTCCCTCTTTCTTTCATTTTCAATCCTTCTCCCTCCCCCCCCTCTCCCTCTCCCTCTCTCTATCATCCTCTCGTTCTTCTTGGACTTTTTGTATTTCTTTCTCCTGTGTTTCCGGATCGTCCCTCCATCCGTGAGCTTCGTCGCCATCTCTCAGACAGGATGATTAAGCCTCATTATTACTTCATTATTACATCAGTGATTCTGATTATTGTGGTGGCGGTGAATTTTTAGTCTAGGTATTGCCGTTTTGATGGATATGACAGTTATTATCATCGTTGCTGCTTTTTATGGCGATGATGAGGAGCTCGAGGTTTTCTCTTTGCCATTGCTTGTCTCGTCCGTGTCTCGTAATTCATTTCTCTCTCTCTTTTCTCTCTCTCTCTCTCTCTCT